AATAATTTGCTTTGACCTTCTACAGTCACCAGTTGAACAACTATGGGAGATTTTGGACCGGTTTGTGAGACAACAGGAATATCTTTTGGAAGAACAGTTCCATCCTTCCGGGAGAGTTTCTAAAACTTTTAGAATCAATGCCCAACACCTTACCAAGACACTTAAGGATGAGACACCACCATTGTCATTGAGGTGGAAACTACTGGTATACCTGGATTTTTATCTAAATTTTGCATATTAAGGACGTGTGACAAATCTACCGACCCAAATATTGAGTCCATAACAGTGATTTTATGTCCTTCAAAGTGACATTTGTTGTTTCATGTGTACATATTGATAGCATACAGGTCATTTTGGGCAGCCACCTGACAGTAAGCACATTACTACTTTCCCTTAGGGAATAAATTAGTTAATTTACTGTACATAAACAAGCAGTTCAAAGTGGACGAATTTGTGACTTACACTCTGCCCTTTGAGAAGATCACGGGTGTTTTTTGATCTCATGCATTCTGGAAAATGCTACGCCTTGATTTCAGATACATTTTGAAGCTGTTTGATATGTTAATGTGCATGGTGTTCCAGTGTCCCTCTGGGTTTTGTCTTTTAAAAGCTTAGTGTGTCTCTGTTGCCCTCTGTTGAAGACAAAGCTGAGATACGACAAGCGCTGTGAGACAAGAATTCACTCCTGAGATTACTAGTTGCATCAGAAAGGTTTTTAAAAATGTATTGACAGTGGAATTCCATTTTCTTCACCCAGTACTTGATGCAAAATGCCGTACCAAAGCAAGTAATGCATGTAAAGCGACTGAATAACTGACCCTGAAATCTAACCACGACTGTGTTGTAACAGTTGGTTCCTGGAAGTGGTGATTTCAAAATCTGTGTTCTATTAAAACAGTGTTTTGGTGGGAAGAAAATACACTATGCTGCTGCTTGTTTATTTCCACATGAGCTTCACATTTGTTGTCCAGCTGTGAGTAACTGGAAACTGATATGAAATGATAACTGCGAGAGGTGAGAGTTCTTGCCCATTTAAATGCCTGACAAATAGTTTTATATTGCAGCAGTAAACACCATAAACCGGTCTGTATTTCTCCTCCCACTCCTCTGCTCTGCAGCTGCAGTCTTGTCTTGACTCCTCTCTGACTTGTCTACATTCAACTTGGCAGCAAAAATGGCCACAGCTGGAAAGGTAGGAATATTTCAAATATGGTCAGTGTCACGTGATATGTTTGACTGTGTATTGTGCACAATTCATATTTTTCCACTACGTTACTGTGTACAGATATGAAGTCTTTCACCAAATTGTAGGCTTACTGCCATGAAAGTTTATTTGTTATGTAATAGCTAAGTGAATAAGTTGTTTAGTCCTGAAATGTGCTGTTTAAAATCACTTTACTTCCACAGTGGATTTTTAAACAATGTATAAATTGAAGACAACCCACTTGATTTATCAAAACTAGAGACAACTGATTTATGCAATTGTTTGATTGCACTGAATACTGCAGCAATAAAACGCATGTGTGCCAGAGGGTATGGACTTTAAGCTCTTGTTTGTTACCTTATGTAACACCAGCTTTAACCAGGAGCAGCTGTTTCTGTGCTATTTAAAAACTGAAGGGAGGTTGTTCATGAAACCTGTTCATGTATTTGATGTACATACTTGATTTGACATTGCAATGGACCTCTAGATAAGTGCTCACCTTGAACTGTTGAATTACAACACAAAGGATAGCTGCGACTGTAGCAGCTACTACGAAGAGCTGACAATGTGTTGCTTTACCCATCTCAGTTTTCTCCTTTTAGACTGCAGGGTTTTCTGGGTTTTTTGTACATTGTGGCACCCACCTATGCCAGGTTAATGTAAAAGCACTTTCAATTATAAATGTTACTTAAATGGGTACTTGATGGATTTGAGGAAGAGGTCGCGACACTGTGGCATGCTTTCGGAAACCCATACTGCTATAGTGGACAGTTATGTTAATAGTTGCAGCCCTCAGCAAGTTTAGTAATACTTTATGTTCCTGTAGGTCATTAAATGCAAGGCAGCAGTAGCCTGGGAGCCCAACAAGCCTGTGGTGATTGAAGAGATTGAGGTGGCCCCACCTCAGGCCAACGAGGTCCGCATCAAGGTGAGAAACTTTCATGTTCAGGACTCGTGCATGACTATGTTTGTCTCTTTTACTCTTTTTTGCAATTCTAACTCAGGTGAAATGGGTCACTCTGGAGTAGTTTTGTTGGCCATCGATAAGAAAGAATGATCTGTGTTTATTGGACAGCTAGGGTTAGGGTTAGCCCCGCCCTACACCTGTGCAGCTGCATAGATGCATGCATGCACTCAATCAAGACAAGCGCTGGAAGGCCACACAACAAAGCCAGAATCCTCAACAAACTATTTATTTTCGACCAACTGGAAAAGATTGGACCCTGTATTTTCAAGCTCCTGAATGAATGGTGAGGCATGTTCAATGAAACACTGTTGCTGGAAGTGGGTCAAAGAGTGAACAAGCATCACCACCAACCAGTGACGCTGTAGTAAAAGGTCTTATAGACAATCCACCTAAGGTTAACACAGCAACGATTGAAACAACCCCAATAAGAAGCCTGATCACTGACTTTGCTTGCTCTGTTGTACCCCCTACTACAGTAAAGTGTCCTACTGCTCTTCTAGCTGATGTGCTTAACCTACCCGAGGTTCAAAAAGTAGTAGCTGAGCATATTGTCAAGACAGACAATGTTGTGTCCTACAGTGGCTCTTCCAAACTCAGGGCTTTCTCTGGGAAGATTACATGATCCAGTAATGAAACAGATGATGATACATGGAGAAACAGTGTGGATTTGTTTCTCACAGACCCTTCCAATTCTGACTTTGAAAGACCTCGGAAGATTTTTGAAAGTCTGCTGTCACCAGCTGCTGATATTGTAAATGGTCTGCACTTACATAGCGCTTTTACCCAAAGTGCTTTACAATGTGTTTCTCATTCGTACACATGGTGCCAGAGCTGCCATGCAAGGTGCTGCCTGCCATTGGGAGTAACTTCGGGTTCAGTGTCTTGCCCAAGGATACTTCGACTGTGGAGGGGCAGGGGATCAAACAGCCAACCTTGCGATTGGAGGACAACCTGCTCTACCATCTGACAGCCGTCAAACATTTAGACCTCAAAGCCTTACCCAGCGCTTATCTTGAACTGCTTGCTTCAGCATTTGCCACTATGGCAGACAGAGAAGAGTGTTTTCAAAGTTTTAAAGCACTTTACAAAATTCTGGTGAAAAACCTTCAGAGTACCTAGATGACCAAAGACCTGCAACCATCCTGGTCTTGGCAGGGATGATATTGAAAATAGCATCAATTCAGATTCAGATGAGAAGTTCACCAGAGTGTACCAAAGAAATCCAGTGAGCCAACCTCTTGGTAAAACCCTCAGTTTTAGTCTTGCAACTTCTTCCTTTCCTTGAAGAGATGGTCTGGAAATGGAAATGGAGAAGGAAAAAGAGAAGAACGATTATTCCAGTTGTGACTTTTGTTTCCCCCATCAAGATTTAGGGACACTCAAAGGGACTCTGCACATTGGGCCTGTGAAAATTGTAAAATTTGAACAGTTGAAATTGATTTTGTGTGAATATATAGTAAATTTCATTCAACTGATTATTTCTGCTCTTTTCCGTGATTTACATCAAGTGTTTTTGGTTTCAATACAGTTGGGAAAAAAAGGATTTGTGTTTGTGTTGTTAATTTTCCTCCAGCTCCAAAGCCATACCTCAACTAGCCCTATTCTTTAACTGATGATTTATTTTGTTGTATCTATGTGTGTGTGTGTGTGTGTGTGTGTGTGTGTGTGTGTGTGTATATACATATATTTAAAATTTGTAAGAAAAATAATTACACATTGGTATAAAAACTCAACCAATCATAAAGTTTTGGTCGTGCTTCTGAACCCCCTGAGACTGAACATTTATCAGCTTGTCTCCCCAGTCATCAGTATTTTCATCGTTTGGTTATTGTGTTCGTTGCAGATTGTGGCGACATCGGTGTGCCACTCTGACCTGTACCACCTTTTGGAGAGTATGCATAAAGATGGCTTCCCAACGGTCCTGGGCCACGAGGCAGCCGGCATTGTAGAGAGTGTCGGGCCTGGAGTTACTGAATTTCAGCCAGGTCAGTTTAAAATCTTTCAGTGTACAAAATACTCTACCTATTTACGTTCTTCCCAAGAATGAGAGGAGAAGAATAATATCCGGCTAATGTTTATCTGTTCTGTATTGAGCTGGAAGGTGTGTAGTCTAGTATTAGGATTAAACAGCAACCTCTTGGGCTGAAAAGTGAAACCAACATGGAAGTCCCAAAAACTTTTAAAGTCCAAGTTGACATGTTGCATCTTGTTAGTAGGTTCATCCAACAATAGGATGGTAGGTGAGGGTGTATGGGGGAACTGCCTATTGCTGCCTTTTTTCTTTTTACCCCATTTTAATAGTGTATGATTTATTTTTGCTTTTCCTTTCAGGAGACAAGGTGATACCTCTGTTCCTCTCCCAGTGTAAAGAATGTCACCTCTGCAAGAATCCTAAGACCAACCAGTGTGCAACAGCATGGTGAGCATTCATTGCATGTCTTCCACTCCGTTTTCATTTCAGTTTTGACTTCACCCCTGTTGGATGTGTTCAGACATTTCTATGCCCACTTAATCCATACATTGAAAGGATTTTGCAATATTCTATCCAGCAAACCCTCTAATAGGAAAAGTCAAAACTTGTTTCAGATTTTTAACATCAAAAAATGATCTTGTTCAGGACCAGGATTCGTCAGGAAATTATGGCAGCAGTTGAATCCAGGTTTACCTGTAAAGGAAAGAGGATTCTGCAGTTTATGGGAACCAGCACCTTCTCAGAGTACACTGTGATACATCAGATGGCTGTGACCAAGATTGATCCTGAAGCTCCCCTGGACAAAGTCTGTCTCCTCGGCTGTGGGATCTGCACTGGATATGGAGCAGCAGTTAATACTGCTAAGGTGTGTGATTGGGCTGTAGTGAGTGGCCCACTAAACAGGACATTTTGTGTTCTGCCTTTAAATTGAGCACTTTTTGACAAAACACAAATCTTTTCATTTCAAATTCTTAATCAGATTGAAAAGAATTAGAAAACACTCGCTGTGAGACAGAACATTTCCATTTATAATTGTCTGTATGGTGCATTACTGGGACCAACCTGAAGTACCACGCTGACCAAAGTCTTTTTCTCTTCAGGTTCAGCCAGACTCCACATGCGCTGTGTTCGGTCTGGGAGCTGTGGGTTTGGCTGCAGTCATGGGCTGCAAGACTGCAGGCGCAAAAAGGATTATAGCTGTTGACATCAATCCAGACAAGTTTGAGAAGGCCAAAGTGTTTGGTGCTACTGACTTCGTCAACCCCAAAGATCACAGTAAACCCATCAATGAAGTGCTGTTTGAGATGACCAATGGGGGAGTGGACTTCTCCCTGGAATGTGTTGGGAAAGTGGACATCATGGTATGAGCTTTATTTTAATCTGGTTCGAGAATATAGCAACGAGGTGTTACTATATACATCTTTAAACAGCATTCACTAGAGAGGACCACACCAACAAACTGAAGTTTGATTGTTTGTTGGATGCGAATGAGCGTTGTGTTGGTGATGACATGGATGAGCTGACCCCCTAGGAAAAGGAGAAGACAGGAAGAGAAGGTAGAAGTAAAGGGAGGGTGGTTGGGGCACAGAAAGCGAGAATGAACAAGTGGGGAGGACAGAGAGGTATATATAGACGTATGACAGGAAGGGGAGTGATTGAGGTGTGATCCTGCTCCTGAACCCCAGCTATCTCCATTACATTTTATTCTATAGTCTGCAATGGTTTCTGAAGAGGCCCTTCAGTAATATACCCCTTTATCCTCTGAATACGAGTGCGCTGACTTAATGCTGTTTCTCCACCTAGTGCAGTGCCTTGAAGTCTAGTGCACCAGGCTGGGGTGTCAGCGTGATTGTTGGCTGGACAGACATGTATGACGTAGCAGTCCGACCTGTTGAGCTCATTTCTGGACGTACATGGAAGGGATCCCTGTTTGGAGGTGAGGCAAATAAGACCATCACAAATCATTAATGAATCACTGAGTTAAAAAATGGCTTTGGGTGTATGTGGTGCTTCTGGACAAGAGTCTTTGCTCTTATTTTGTGGCTCAGGATTTAAGAGTAAGGATGGCGTCCCTGAGATGGTCAAAGCCTACATGGACAAGAAAGTCAAGCTGGATGAGTTCATCACTCACAACATGACTTTGGACCAAATCAATGATGCCATCGAACTGATGAAGCAGAGCAAATGGTACATTTACACTCCTATACTTCCTCCACCATTAATCGCCAAACGACAACTGCACAGATGAATTATTCACAAGTAGTTCTGCTCATTTCTTTGTTCTCTTTTGGTTCCACAGCATCCGGGCGGTCATGAGTGTTTCTCCACAATAGGACCACTCTGTGGCTTTCAGTAGCAGCAAAGTGATTCAGTAAACTGCTTTTATACCATTAGCAAAATAGAACACAGCACACAAAATAAAGAGAATGGATCACTACTCAGTCAGCTGTAAGCAGATTTGGATTGGGACATTCATCTGCAGTGTAAGCAAAAACTAAACAAGTGTTTATGGAGCTAAATAAATGATTTAAACAGATGGGTCTCAGGTCTCAATGTTTATTTTCTGGTTTTATTGGATTGTGTGTCCATAGCACTGACTACCATGTTACCAAATACTCTATTAAACAGTGTTTAAAGTGACACAAACAGCCAAATTGCATCAATGTTTGCTTAACTTAGCAGGTAGTGTTGTAATTACTCTGTTAGATCATTTGCCCCTCCAGCAGGATTTCTGTCTGCTTTATCAAGAATTTGCACTAAAAAGGATGTTGCAGCGGAACACCAGGCACTCCGAATGAGATGATATGAAATCATAAAAGTTAAAAAAAATCAAGTTAGAAGTGAAAGGGAGCAGACAAAGGTTTACCAAAAGTCAAGCATGGCAACAAAAGCATGGGTAAGAAACTGAAAATAACAATAAAAGAATAAAAAAAAAAGAAGTAACAAATTCAAATACAAACCAGACTGACACGAGAAGCACTGGAAAAACTCTGGCAGGAAACAAACTCTCAAAGAAAGATGGAAAGAACAATGACTTGATACATAAGGGAGGCAACAACACACATATGATGATCACAGGGGCAGAAACTGAAGCAGGCAATGACACACAAGGAAAGGAGATTTCAAAATTTAACAGGAAACAAACAAAAGTTAAACTCAGACCACTACCAGCTGGTTTTTCTCCAGATTATCATCATCTTCTCGTCGAGCTTTACACACATAATAAGTATTAGGCTGGAAAATGAGCTTCTTTCTAACTTGTCTGGCACCACAGTCTAAAGTTTAAACAACGGAATTATCTTTCTTTGGCAGCTTGATTGCATTTGATCTCTGCACGTGCTTTGAGAGAATTAGTTTATCTAATAAGACATTGATCTGGACTCTCAGCTTTATTAAACTGTCAGTGCACCTTGGTCATAAAGCCTGCAGCATTTGGACAGATTGAGAGAAGCCCATGTGATTGGCTGCTGCAAGAGTCTGACCAATCCATATCACAAGTAACCTATCTTCTTGTTACCATCTTCACTTTGAGTCAGCATAGTTGAGTTCATGTGTTAATGTATAAACCGACAAACCTGCACATCTCTTTCAGTATGCAGTAGTTAGTCTCACCAGGATTTTGTAATCAGAAACCTTTTAAAAAGTTGCTGTCATGTCCTTCTCATGAAGACTGGTTTGAAGAAGACAGGACTTGGACATAATAAAACATCATTATCTTCACCACTAGTCGTCTTAAAATATTCTTTCATATGTCTTAACAAGCCCTGCGATAGACTGGCGACCTGTCCAGGGTGTCCCCTGCCTTCGCCCGAAGTCGGCTGGGATAGGCTCCAGCCCCCCATGACCCTAGTGAGGACTAAGCGGTGTAGAGATAATGGATGGATGGATCTATTATGTTCTAAATAGAGAATCTTAACAAGACAAAACTTGGTATTTAGGTCACGGTCTCCTTTATAGTAGAGTTTGGGGCCTCAGGTCTGCTTGACCGCTTGGCAATTTGGACGATTTTTCCAGAGTTTAAGTCTGAAAAAATATCTCAAAATGAGACTCAAACAATTAGGATGCAAAACGCAACCAAAAAAGTGACACAACAACCAAAGTCGAACGTAAAAAGATGACAAAGAGACACAAAAACCAGCTGTTTGTGGGGAGCAGATATCTTTGCTCAGAGGTCCATTGTTTGTTCATCTGTCCATTCTTATCCATCCTTGGCATTACTATCAGGGTGGCAGCAGCAGGACAAGACATTTTCACCTCAACCTTCTTGCTACTGTCTGGACCCACCTAGAAAAGCGCTTCTCTTTAATGGTGTTAACTGTTGGAAGATTACCAGGCATTTTTTTTTTTTACATACATTAAATAATTCTGTGATGATGAATCCATACAGACTTCAATGATCCTCTGACTTTTACTCTGGAACCAACTCCAGGTTGAGTTTTTGGTTTTTAAACCAACTGGCTGGACTGATAGGAGTTAATGTCCTTCAGGTCAAACTTTTATTGTGTTCAGGGCTTGAATTCAGTGGTTAATGTCTCACACACTCACCCCGAGCAAACTGATCAGTCATTAACAAGGTGTCTTTGGTGGATGTGATGGTTTCAGATTATAACAGCTCCTCTTAAATGCAGCTTTGACTTATCATCAGTAGACTGTGTGACTTAAGTAATGATTTATTCTGCTTTATTCTTTGTAGGCTACTCACCTGTGCAAAACACAGAAAGTGGGGAAATTAGAACAATGAGTCTTTTTTTTTCATTTTTGTTTAAAAATCCAATTTCTGAAGAAGCAGCCCAAACATGACACATTAAAAATCTAATTCAGTTATTCATTTGTGAAGTAACTGAAAAAACTGAAAGCTTCAGGCCCGTTTTTNATGATAAAAAGACTGTTGCGCGGACATTCCAGTCCGGCGATCGCGTCTTGGTTTTACTGCCCGTTGTTGGTTCTGCGCTGCAGGCGAAATTTTCAGGTCCGTATGTCGTTGATCGCAAACTCAGTGAAACTGATTATTTAATCCAGACCTCCGACCGTAAGAAAAAGTCTCGTGTGTGTCACATCAACATGCTTAAAATGTATGTTGATCATGAAAATTGTGTTGATTCGATCTCAGGTGTCACACCTGTTGCTTCTGTGTCTGTCACACAGCCCCTGTACCATCCCGGTGATGACGGGCTGGATGACAGGCACAGCTCTGTGTCCTGTGCGCGCCTCCGAAATTCTGAAATTTTGTCAACTTTGAATGTGTATTTAGCGCATCTGTCTGATTCTGCTCGCTCTCACATATGTAAACTCATTAAAGAGTATTCGAGTTTGTTTGGTGACGTTCCCTCTCAAACGCATGTATTAAAGCACGATATTGATGTGGGAACTCACAAGCCAATTAAGCAACATGCTTACCGCGTAAATCCGGCAAAACGCGCCGTGATGAAAAAAGAGGTAACGTATCTGATTGATCATGGTTTCGCTGTCCCGAGTTGTAGCGCTTGGAGCTCTCCTTCGTTACTTGTGCCAAAATCTGATCAGACTCCGCGCTTTTGTAATGACTATCGCAAAGTTAACGCGATCACAAAACCTGATTCATTTCCGCTGCCCCGAATGGATGACTGTGTCGATCGTGTGGGTTCTGCTAAATATGTCACCAAGTTAGACCTTCTTAAAGGCTACTGGCAGGTCCTACTGACTGAACGTGCATCCGAAATCAGCGCCTTCGTCACCCCCGATCACTTCCTACAATACACAGTCATGCCATTTGGGTTGCGCAATGCACCAGCCACTTTCCAGCGGCTGATGAATATTGTGTTGTGTAATGTTAGTAACTGTGAGGTCTATCTTGATGATATTGTGGCATATTCATCAACATGGACTGAGCACGTGAAAACACTACGTGAAATATTTGATCGTTTGCATGCCGCCTCTCTAATGCTTAACCTGGCCAAATGTGAATTTGGTAAAGCCGTTGTCACCTACTTGGGTAAACAAGTCGGTCAGGGCCAAGTTTGTCCTGTTATGGCCAAAGTTCAAGCCATTGCTGATTTTCCGGCTCCCCAAACCCGTCGTGAGCTCCGCCGTTTTTTAGGTATGGCTGGTTATTACAGAGGGTTTTGCAAAAATTTCGCTGCCGTTGTTGCTCCGCTAACTAGCTTAGCAAGCCCCAAGTTGCCATTCCGGTGGTCAGAACAATGTCAAGCGGCCTTTGAAGCTGCCAAAGCTCTTCTTTGCAGTGCTCCGGTGCTCGCCGCTCCAAACTTCGCGCATCCATTNTTCTTGAATGTAATCAGCCTCAGACTTGGTCAGAACTGTTTTCTGCACAACATCAGACCTTTTTAATCATTTAACCCTCTGAGGCTGTTTTGGGGGGATTTCACTGCCTCTACTTTTAAACTCGCCTCTTGTTGTTATGAGGGCAAGTCATCTGTGTTGTACTAGAACAGTCGAGATCTTCCATCATTTAACATGTTAGATCTGATTGTTTTTTTTTTAAAATCAGCCTTTCTTTCAAGGAAAAAATGTGTATTGTTACACACTTTTCATGGATCTCACTAAAAAATGCTGAGTCTAGAGATATTTTCCAGAATTGTGCAGGCGAGACTGTCTGCAATCTATGTGCTTATTGTATTTTAATTTTTAATCTATTTTATTGAAAAGCACTTTAACATTTGTTTTGAAAAGTGCTCTATAAATAAAGCTTATTATTATCATTATTATTATAAGATAAAGGATATCAGTTGACTACAAGAACATTTCAGGTGAGAATGAATGACATAATATTAAATTTAAAGCAGAATCAAAGATCTGCAGGACAAGACACTAAATGTGGGAATAAGTGTGATATGTGCAGAAGAAAGCACTTTGAGTGAGGAACCTGAGCATTAGGTGATGTCCGTTGGTTCCAGACTAATAATAATCCTTATTATCATGACATTAGATTGACTTTTTCTTTGCTTTACTTTTAAGAATGTGAAAAGTGGAAGGACTGTGCAAAAATGTCTACAAGAGTCGTGCAATATTGCTGTTGAATTAAAGCTAAACGTCTACACTTTAACCACGACTTGATTGCTTCACTTCAAAGCCATCATGTTATGGTCTCTGGTTTTGGTTGTAGTTTATGCTGATTCTTACTTTTCCTGTGTGTCTCAGTTGGTTTCACTTCCTGCCCTTGTGATTCCCTGATTGTTTCCACCTGTGATCACTCACCTTTGGTGCATTGAGCCTTGTGTGTTTTTTTCCTTTGTCCTTTGGCAGTTTGTCGGTTTACCTGCCGGTGCCCTCCCTGTGGTCTTTGTGTTCTTCTGGTTTGTGTTTTTAGCACTTTGAACCCCTTTGTCTTCCTCTGTGTCTTGCTTTAGTTTGTTCCCTGTGCTTTTGTTCCCTTTTTAGATTTTTGGTTAACCTTTGCTTGGTCCCCGTGCTTTCTTTTGTTTGCTTTTTTGTTAAACTTTTGCTCTTCAGTTATTTTTCCGTCAGCCAGTCATGAGCTCCATTCGTGTTTTGGAAATCTGTCAGTATTTCTGCATTTGTCCTGACACTCCAGGTACCTCATACCGTTGGTGTACAAAGACGAAATTACAAAAACTTTGTCACTGGCCGAATATATATGTCAATTCAAAGTTCCTGCACATCTGAATGTTGTATAAATGTTGTTTTATGCAGCAGTATATACATCTCCCATTATGACCTTATTGCTTTTTATTATTATTATTATTATTATTGCTACAGTCCTCTCTTATCTCCTCTCTAACCTGTGGATGCTCATCTTTGCAACTAAAAATAGCCACAGCTGGGGTGGTGAGTAGAAATTACCATATGATCCATTCTTTAAAAGTAAATATGAAGAGCTGACAATATGTATATCACTCAGCAGTGTCACATTGTTATGACCCTGTGCGGGTCATTTGTGTTTTTTGCTGCTTGTCTGTCCCCAGTGTGAGTGTGTGTGCATGAGTGTGGTGGAACGAGGGAATTGGGAGCAGGTGGTGACCCCGGATTGGATACTGCTGCGCCGATTCCCAGCCACACCATTGGTCGG